CCCCTATTCATCACCATGCATCGTACCTATTCTATGCGCCAGTCGCGCGTTCCGACCGCGTCCCAGATCGAAAGCCCCCCACCACCATTGTCCACAACCAAGACCGGGAGATGGCTAGGGAAAGGCGGCATCGGTGAGTGGAATGCGATTGTCGACTGGTGATTTCGACGGCGAGGGTGTGGGCGTTTGAGGCTGCCTAATCGGGCACCGATCCCCATTCCACGACCCCGGCCCGACGTGGCCAGGACCGAATCGAGATCATCAGTCGACGCCAATTTCTATGAAAGAATTAGTTCGCTGACAGGTTGCGATCAGGACATGCCTTCCGAAAGAACGCCGCTGGTGCCTTTGGGCCCGATCTCGCCAAGAAGCTGTCGCAGCTTGTCAAGATGGAGAAGAACGTGATGCGCAGCATGGAGCTCGTCGCCCGGGAGCGCATGGAGGTCGCTGTATGTCCTCGAGAGAAACATCGACCATGAACAATTTGGAAGCTAATTCGGTATAGCAACAACTCTCCATCTGGGGTGAAGCTTGCGATGAGGATGTGTCGGATGTGACGGACAAGCTCGGAGTGCTGATCTACGAGATCGGCGAACTGGAGGACCTGTTCGTCGACCGCTACGACCAGTACCGAGTCACCATCAAGAGCATCCGTAACATCGAGGCATCCGTACAGCCCAGCCGAGACCGTAAGATCCCCACCGACCCACCCCAACCATAACTAACCCTTCTCCCCCAGGCAAACAAAAAATCACCGACGAGATCGCCAAGCTGAAGTACAAGGACCCCAACTCTCCTCGCATCGTCGTTTTGGAGCAGGAGCTCGTCCGCGCCGAAGCCGAGTCTCTTGTCGCCGAGGCCCAGCTGTCCAACATCACCCGCGAGAAGGTCAAGGCCGCCTTCCAGTACCAATTCGATGCCCTGCGCGAGCACTGCGAGAAGGTCGCCATCGTCGCCGGCTATGGCAAGCACCTACTGGACCTGATTGACGACGCCCCAGTCACTCCCGGCGAGACCCGCCACGCCTACGATGGCTACGACGCCAGCAAGGCCATCATCCAAGACTGTGAGGACGCCCTCAGCAACTGGGTCAGCTCCAAGGCAGTCGTCAAGTCTAGCCTGTCCACGCGCTCGCGCACCCTCTCCCAGCGCCACCGCAACAACCTGGGCAAGAACCGCGAGGGCCATGACCTGTCTTCGCAGGACCAGCCTTTGACTGGAGACCGCGACTCTTGGCTGCCTGCTGACCAGCACCCCAGCTATGAGGATGGCGAAGATGGCGTCAGCACCATTGACGGCGAGGGCCGAGGCCGCGAGGAAGAGCGCGAACCTATTGCTGCCTAAGCAGGATTAATTGAGCAACGGAGATGGAAGAGATCATGATCTCTTCTCGCAAATATGGCAACTGATTATACAGGAGGCAGACGGTAGTTCACCTCTCTCTCTCTCCTTTACTTCCATCCTCTCCACACTCCTTTTCATCTTCTCTGTCAAAATTTCCTGCCTTGTGCTTCGATATACGATTTCGCTCCTTTCTTCGGTGTTAATCCCGCAAGGCGAGAGACCAAAATCACGCAATGGACTTATGTTCTGCATGATATACCTCTCTCACCTACGTTCCTTCAAGATGAATGTCGTGATCTGACGCCTAAGGATCGTGCTGGGATTTGTTCCACTTTTCTCTGGTGTGTGGGTCAGGCAAGGACCGAGACTTGGTTCTTGTTTGTCCCCGAACCAGATGGAATTCTGCTTGGAGTTTTCCGTGTCTGTTCTTGTGTGCTTTTTCCCCCTTAATCAATGTAATACCATCTTACGTTGGATTGTTTTTGGTTTCTGCTTTTTTTGGTCGGGCTCACGTTATGATACTTTGGTTCTGGGTAATTTAAGTAGGTGTTTTAATGGATTTGTTCACTTAGATTGATACGTTGGCTTTTAAATAATTCTAATATATGTATACATAAATGTAGATGTAGATGTAACTTATATGTAGGTACATGTAAGTTACTGCATCATGTCACGAGGTGACGATGTGTACATTGTGCATCTTCATGTGAACTGAACAGTGCACCGTGGACTGTGGAGAAAAGACCCTTACCCCAGGCCAAGCCAGCCATCCCACACCGATCACAACGTCGACCAGTGACATCCTGCCCAAATGAGACAATTCGTCGAGAAAGAGCACGCCACATGGAGGCGGTCTTACATCTTTGATATTACGCAGATCTAGTTCGTGCAAGGCTCCTACAGTACGATCACACCCTAGTCAGATCATGCATTTATCCCAAATTAAAAAAAAAGGAAAATTCTCATATAGAAACCTTGGAAGAGACAGTGGTAAAAGCAATAGCAGATACAGTTCAGTTTAAAGTGTGTAGTATAAGAGCAAAGAAGCGAGAGACAAGTAAAATCAAATCCCATGTAGCATATAGCAAGGCAGAGTGAACATTGTAATAAATGCAGAACCAAAAACACAAGCATAGAAATAATCAAAAATAATATTCAGATTCCCCGAGTCGGGTCCTCAACACCACCCCGCCAACAACTCATCCGCCCTTTCCAGTGAGTGGAAAGGGGGGCAAAACGCAAAGCAAAATAAAGCAAGCCTTCGCAGCACACACGATCTGATAGGAGTATAAGAAGGTGGAGGGAGGAGTAGAGTAGATAGAGAGGATGGGCGATAATAAGTATAAGTATAGTATGAGCCCTGGAGGATGGAGAGGGAGAGGAGAGTATGAATCAAACGAAAGTGGCAGATCTGAAAGTGCGAAGCAAAGACCATCCCTAGGAGTCGAAAAAGCCACGGTCGGGATAACCACGCGTTGGCAGAACGAAAGAAGAGAAGGGTCGTGACGTCGTCATTGAGTCTGCTTTCGCTCAGTCCTTTCCATCTTTACCTTTGTAGCCTTTGTAGATAAGGTGGTAGGTGAGATGGGAGGACAGCAGACAAAATAGCAAAGCGAGTAGAATGAACAGGAAAACAGGAAATGCTGATTCGAGCGGATGCCGGGAGGGGTCCGCGGCTGAGATGATACACAAGACAAGACAAAAACAGTGGCAGAGGAGGACAAATAAAAAGCAAAACTTCAATTTGGTGCGTTACTCCTCAGTGCCGACGCCCTTCTTTTTGGGCTGAATATGTTTTTGCCTGGAGTTGACGGGAGTAGCTTTTAGCTCGAGGGCCGAGCTATCCTTTGGTGGAGGCGGGCGGGAACCGGCATCATGCTTCTCCGTGAGGAGGTTCTTCAACCAACGATTTTCCATCTCGAGCTGGGCGACGCGAGCCTCGAGAGAAGCGTTCTTCTCGGTGGTCTCACGGACGGTGCGTTCGAGGACCTGCTCGCGCTGCTTCTTTTTCATGCGAAAGCGAGCACTGGCGGCGGTGTTGCGGCGCCGGCGGTCCTCTTCGGCTGCACCGCGGACGCCCTCTTCTTGGTCGAGGGCGGCGGCGATGCGGTCCCCAGAGATGGAGGTGCTGTACTTGGTGTTGCCCATCTGGCCGTTGGGCGGGGAAATGGACGACGAGACATCCGATGGAGTGAGAGCCCCCGGTGCATGGCCCAGGTCGTCGGGCGCAAAGGGCACTGGGGGATAGATGGAGTGAGCTGAGTAGGGCATCATATGCTCAGGGAGGCCGTAGTTGATAGATTTCTCGCCGGAAGCTGTAGAGGGAGTAAGCAGGTGTCCCCAGGGAAGCCCCATTGAGGGTGAAATGCATTATGCCAACGAATATAAGTTCAGACGGGGAAGGGAGCAGTTAAGACAGGCCAGGGTGATAGTCATATGCTTGCGGGATTGCGTGCTCGCTATTGAGGAACTCCGACGGTGATCTCATCCCAGTGGAGTGTATTTTGAAGACATCCATGTAAAAAAGATGGGAAAAGAGTGTAAGAGAGGGTGAAAAGGGAATAGCGAGTCAACAGACCGACTATCCGGTTGTTTCGAGCCCGATACAAAGGGGGATTGGACAGGCATGCAGGAATGAGAAAAATGAGAGATTCGAAGTTCAAATTTCAGTCATCCCAATGCATATGGCGTAACAAATGCAACGTTTGGCAAGTCAAAGCTTGAACGTACCGTGATAGGGATACCCCCGGAGATCGAGAGAACTGCGGTCATCGTCTATACTATCGTAGGAGCTGACTGAGAGGCCGCCCATGCCCTCGGTCTGATCGTAATCCATGCTCACGTTGCCAAACGGGACCAGCCCGGTATCTGTATCAAATGAATATTGACGAGTCTTGGCTGTGGGATCGTGGCGCGACATCAAGAAATTGAAGTTATCAACCTTGTCAAAGCCACTTGGTTCCCCCGGCATGTTGAAGGATGAGGGAAGGAGAAGTCAGAAAACCAGAAACTGCCTTGGCCTTTAGGGTTGAGAGGGGGCTTTTCTTCGGGACCGCAGAGAATGAAGCAATCAGAAGACACGTAAAAAAGAAATAATAATAATAATAATTTCGGGGCCAAAGTCTACAGTATTCCGGAGCCCAAGTAACAGAAAAGAGTTAAGACTTGGAAAAGGCTTCGGAGATGAATGTTCTCGGCCACGATCACTTAATTGGACTTCATGTCATGCGGGACAGCCCTTGACGCCACGAATCATAGGCGGCGGAAGACGAAAAAAGGGGAGGTGAGGTGGAAAAGGCACGATGGCCCTAGTCGATGATCTGATAGAATGGAGAAATGTCGTGATCGCGGCCTGTGGTTCGCTGGAGATTCACCGCCTGCCGAGGTATAAAGTACGGGGAGGACGAGATAGTATAGGATAGGATCAGTAATATAAGTAGAAGTAGAGGAGAAGCAGGGTAGAAGTAGAGTAGAAGTATGTGTAGATGAAGAGAGAGAAGATGAATCTATATTGTTCAGAAAATAGGGGCTTTGTCTCCATGCTCTCTCCACTCTCTTCTTTCTGCCTCCTCCCGGTTTACTGGATGACGCGGACCTGGTACCATTCCCGAGGTGGCTTGGCATTCTACACTGTACTCCCGACACGATCGTCCCCTCTATGACATATCCGCTTCCCGTGAAGCAATGATCCGAGCGGCATCGTCGACTGTCACACCGCGCACACGATGCTCAACTCGTTCCTGACCTAAAATCGTATCCTCCGCAATAGTCCGATACACTTCCGCGATGCCTCCATAAATCGATCCCCCAACATCCCATCCACCCACACTCTCCAACATCTCCCCAATCCCACGCATCTCATCCTCCCACCGGTACGCCTTGGGACTCATCCCAATAACCCCGTGAGTCGCCAAAGCCGCCGTTCGCGGAGAATGTTCCTCCAACAGCGCCAAGAGCGGCGGAAGCAGCGCCGCCTTCTGCGCAGTGGAGAAGGACAGAATCGACAGGGCAGTTAGTCCTTTGGTTAGCGCGCTAAAGGAGAGCTTGAGCGTTTTCGCCGCTCCAATCTGCGCCGAGACAAGCTTCATATTCAAGACATCTGCCAGTGCTTGCAGCGCAGGAGCCAGATCCACCGCACCCGAAAGCACCACGCTAGGCTTTGTCCACGCCCCATCTTGCGTGCTTTGCGGCGACCCGCCTATGATCCCGCCATCGAGGAAGTGGCACTGGCCGGACTTGTCCGGCTTATCCGGCCTGGTTAGATCGTCTGAGTTTTCGTTGGCGTCTGCGAACAGGCTTGCCATCTCCTCCGCCATGCGCGCCGGCACGGCGTTGAGCTCGAGGTAGTATAGTTCGGTGCGTCTAGGCCGGTGCACTTCCCGATTCGCCTCTTCGGTCTGTGTCGAGACGTATGCATATGCTTTAGCTATGCGTTGCGCCGTCGCCTTGGCGTTCTTCGGTGGTACTATGGAGAGGATGTAGTTGGCTTGGATTACTAGGTCTTCGTCAGAGGGGAGGATCTCGATGCCTGCGGAGCTGATTCGCGCGAGGGTATGTTCGCTGGGACAGCGCTGTTAGTCTTTTTCTCTCTGTGTTTCAGTGCATTTTACCTTCTTCCTTCTGCGACCGTGACTACGCGGTAGTCGTGGGCTTTGAGAAGGCGGGCCATGCCCAGACCCATCTCTCCGATGGAGACGATTGCAACCGTAGGGCTCATAGTGAGTGAATTGAGTGCCAGCCCACTTCCCATCTGTAGGACACCGCGTCTGTACTTGTATTCCTGATTATCTGCGGGGATCATTTGTCAGCGGAGTCCTGACTGGTTGCCATATCCAAGCATTTGATACCATCGCTAGATGAGGTATAGAGGTTTGTCTTGGCCTACTACTTATAGGCATCTCGGGGGGATTAAGCTTATCGCTACCCTTCTAGAAAGATGTTCATCTGGGGCTACGGGTTTATCATCCAACGACGTGCTTATACTAAAGAATTGCGCCTGTGAGGCGACGACAGAACGTGAGAACATACTGGGTAACATAAATCATTTAACTAATCCAAGTCAACGTACCATAGACATATTCAATCCCACTCCTAACCCTAATATCATATACCACATATCAACATACCTTGAACCCATCTCCTGTATACAATGAAGTACCCAACCCCGCCCCGATCTCCCCAGAACAAAACGGAATCGGCACCTCCGACATCCGACTGGATTATTCATCCCATTTTTACCTGCCAAGGCATCGGGCACATCACCCAACCACCTGAACAGTCCTGAAGTTCAGAATAAGAAAGAAAAGAAAAACATCATCAGAACTCTAGATCGCCCGGCTATCCGAGAAACCATCAAACCCAAAAGACGGATTTCGACCAAGTCTTGGCATATGAGCGCACTTCGATGAACGTCAAGTGGCGGCCCATGCACCAGTGCCACACTCATCAGGCCATTCATATCCAATGCAATGAACCCGAACTTGTCCATGTCTGGTCAGGAGACATTGATGGATTCGGGATGGGGACGGCAGTATTCTAGGGTGGGTTTTGCTTGATTCTGGTTCTTTTTTTGGCATTGGACTTGATATCCCGGAGGATTCCGGGTTTGGCTGTTTATTGTTCTTTTTGTTCTAATTGTGCTTTGTCTTGTCTAGGCTTGTGAGATGTGTCATCGGAAGAAGACGAAATGTGAGATGGAGGGGTCTGCGAGGTCTTGCTTGCAGTGTCGGCAGAGGAGTACGCGCTGTGTCTTTCCTGAGGAGGTGGAGGATTTGCAGAGGTATGGTTGTAAATTTTCGTGTTCTTCTGGGGGTGTATGATCGGTTGCTAATGGGTTGGTTTAGTGACGAGTATGTGCAGTCTCTGGAAGAGCGCATTGTCAGGGTTGAGTCGCTCTTGAAGACTGCCGGTATCTTGCAGGAAGGTGACATGAGTCATGATGAATTCTCTGACGAGGATTCAGATGATGAACTTCCTAGTCAGAATGTTTCGTCTGCTCCGAGCCCAAGTCCGAGTTCTCTGTGCCGGAAAGGCGCTGGTCTGGTTACTTCTATCTTCCGAGCAGATGAAAGAGATGATTCTCGATATTTTGGTGAGATATTGACAGTAACCGGATATCGAAGTACCCGGGGCTAACCTCATTAACAGGCAAATCTTTCTCATTGTCGATTCTGTCTCGGGCAGGCATTGAGTGGATCAAAAGCAAAACAGGCGATGTCAGTTTCTTGCGGATAGTCTCGCCGGAATCCGTCCACGAAAATCCGTGGAATCAATGGCGACCCGATGTCTTCCAGGATCTGTTTGCCTCGCAGGTTTTCAAACCTCTACCTTCGAGATCGGAGGTTTTCTCTCTTATGAAGGATTTCTTTCAGACGGCCAATTGTCTGTTTCCTATATATCTCGAGTCCAAGTTTATGAAAATGGTTGAATGGCAATATACCCAGCAGACTTGTGATGACGCTGCCCGTTGGGCTAGCATTAACATGGTTGTCTGTCTGGCTTATGAGTATCGGTTTTCGAATAGCTCGAAGCCAGAAAAGGACAGAGAGAAGGCTCGAGGTTATTTTAAGAATGCCATGTCAGTCTTCACGGAATTGGCGCTAAAACGCACTGATTTGCTCAGCGTCCAAGCTTTGCTAAGCATGGTATGTACACCTGTGGATCAACCCTGATTTGCCCATTTCTAATCCTTCAAAGGCGTTCTTCCTTCGTGGGAATTGCGGTACACAGTCAGCTCTGCCGCTCATCACTGCCGCTATGCGATCTGGTCAAAGAATGGGATTACATCGTGATATCGCCAGACCAGATCTCAGTCCAGCTGAACAGGAAGAAAGACGGCGTGTCTTTTGGGTTACCTTTGTGGTCGATCAAAGGTAAGAGAAGGGCACTAAATATGGTCACTTCTTATACTAAGATTGCTCTTCCAGTACCTGCTTAAGAATTGGAAACGCTCCATCCCAACATCCAGATGATTTTGATGTCCCTCTTCCAGAAGAGTTGGAAAGCGATAAAGAAAGCGCAAGCAATATCCTTTTTTTCCGCCAGCTCTGTCGGATGTCAATCATCAAGGGCCGCATCTACAGTCGACTATACTCCGCCAAAGCCTTACTCAGACCTCCTCTTGAGATCTACAAAACGGTCAAAGAGCTACACAAGGAGCTTGAAAACTGGAGAGGCGACTATCCGTTCACCAGTGAGCCGAAGCTGAAACCCGGTGCACCCGACTTCCTTTTAGGATTTGCCTCCGTTGGTCTCCACTTCGTCTACTACAATGCTTTGATCATGATCCACCGAATACCGCTCTTGCTTCATTACTCAATAACATCTAAGGAGACATCCAAGGAGTCAAAGGAGCTCGAAGCTCTCAGCATACGACGTGCTTCTAAATCTGCTTCCATTGGTGCACAAGCTGCTCGTGATACATTAAAGCTCATTAATAATATGCCTTGGGGAGACATTGCGTGGACTTGGTATGCTACAGCCCCTTTGACGTTATACCGTTCCATTACTGACTATCCAACTACCAGGTCCCTACTATACTACATCTTCCTGGGTGCAGCAACAATATTCTCAAGTATCCTCCGGGATCTCCGCCACCCAAAAGTCCGCGCAGACCTCCAGTCTCTCACCATGGCCTCAACATTTTTCGCAACTCTCGTCCCAGGCGACGGAGCATCCAATTACGCAGGCTTCATGGCCCGCATGAGCGCCACCCTCGAACGCGTCGCCAGAATAGCAGTCGAGAAAGACGAAAAAAGAGACAAGGAGGAGCCTCATTCGTTGACAACTAAGAAACGCACAAACTCGTCATCTCATCATAAACGCCGACGACCTACTACTCTCCGAACAACAATGACCCAGGATACCACCCACCCGAACTTCCCAACCGCATCCGACCCACATGGAATGAACAATGATATGGACATGAGCATCGGTATCCCAGATGCACTAGAAGGCCTACCGCCGATCAACTCCTCCGGCTACGTCGTCCCACTGAGTCCAGATACAAGCACCCAACCCCAACCTCAATTCCAAACAAACCAAACCCAAAATCCCTACACAACCGAATACCTAGACCGAACATTCCTCCACGAAGCAGGAGACAGCACATACACAAACCCCCCAATCCCAATCCCAATCCCATCCTGGCAACTCTCCCAAGATTTCTCCGCCACCCAAATTCAGACAGGTCCAGGTCCAGCCCTAACAAATCTAGAAACCCAATCCCCCTCCTCCTTCGCCAGTAGCACACCAACAGGAACAACAGGCTCCGGATCTGCAATCCCAGAATTCTTCCAGGTGCCCATGACAGGCGACTGGGATTACAGCGGCAACCTCTTCGCCGGTCTCTTCCCCACTGAATATGGGTTCCCCGTTGGTGGGCAAGTTGGTGGGCAAGTGGCTGGTGCGGATCCCTCTATGCCCATTTTATCGGCGGAGACTTATGTGCATGGTGCTCCTGCTGTTGATGGGGGGTTTGATGCTCAGGGTCTTGGGTATGGATTTGTTCCTGAGGGACAGGGGCGGGGATCTCGATCTGGATCGGCGCAGGCTGAGGATTCGGTTTGGCCGAATGGGTTTTTGGGGTTGTTTTAGTGGAAGATTGGTTTTGGTTTTGATGCTGTTAGCGAGGTGCTTTCTCTCTTCTCTTTGTATAGCCATATCCATATCCGTATTCGTGTGTTGATATAGAATGCCCATTGGTGTGGTATAATGAAATGGATGTTATCTAGTTCGTATGATGTATGCTGACAGCGGAGCTTTACTCCCTCCAAGTCTGGACTTGTAACCTCGAGATAGACGTTGGATAACTACAACAGGCTTGATGCCTAGAGAAAGGAAAAATGATCTGGATGTGAGTGAGATATGAGATACGAAATAAAGAGAGACTGTGAACGCCCTGTCCAAAACCCGTAGAATAATCCCATAATCCACTAGTAACCCAAAATAAATAACCATTGCCACTGCGCCTTGCCTGTCCCATCCCAGCCTAGCACCATTCAATAACCACAAAAAATCATTAAAAAAAGGGAATATCAGAAAACAGATCCCGTCAGGCTACGGACAGCTTTGCACCACACGCCATTCCCGAGCTGGACATCACTATCCTGCTGCTGGCCAAGCTCCTTACCGAGAATACTTTGTAGCTCCTTATCAGGAAGACCTGACTTATTACCCGTCCCGAAACCATAGACCTTAGTCGCCAGGACGTCGATGTCAAAGTCCATGGATCCAATACCAGAGTCTGCCGCAACATTTTGATCAATACGGGTGCGGACGGTGAAGTCGACATCAATTCTCTTGGTGCTGTTGTTTTTCGGGGTGGCTCCTTTGCGGCCGGACATGGAGGCGGTTGCATTGCCTAGGAGTGTGCAGCGTGCGCGCAAGGAGAGCAAGCCTTCCTCGGGCTTGGAGAGGGTGAGGCGGGTGACGCCGCAGAATTCGAGCATGCGTGCTTCATTCTCTAGGCCGACTGTACGGTCCCATGCGCGTGAGATGAAGTGTAAGAGTTGCTTGGGGGTAATGGATGATTGTTGGATTGTGGATAAATGGCGTTGAAGGGACTGGAGGACCAAGGACGCAATAGGAGAGATTTTGGCGGTCTTTTGAAGGGTCAGTTCCAATGGGAGGTTCTTCTTCTCGTCTTGGGTATCGGTCTTGGAGATGAATGCTCCAGGAGAGAACTCGAGTTGGAGGTGGTCGCGGTAGGCCATTTTCAACACTGGCCCTGACTGATCATGCGATGGAGTGGTGGCAGAGACGATTGACCAGCCGGTTTGGCGCTCAATCCGTTGTACGGAAGCTATTGAATCAGTTAGCCATGCAGTGGAAAAGGCATTCATTTCAAAAGGGCTCACCCTTTAGTTCATTGATCTCCCGAGCACTCCAGCCTCGGCACGCCTCTTTAACGCGCTCTGCCTCCTGGATCTGAGCCAGGAACTCTTCTCGCATTTCAGATCCAGCCTGAATAATAGCGGTCTTCTCCTGGACCTCAGCTTGCAGCTCCTCAAGTTGGCGCTTCTTAGCTGCAATTTCAATGTCCACCTCGGACAGCTTGCCGCGCGTGCTGCGGAGCTCGTCTTGATCACAATTCTCCATTTCGTCTACCAATTCTTGCAAGTTGGTCGCTTCCTCCTCGAGGGCAGCATGCTTCTCAACCAAAGGGGGCACATTACTGCTGAGCAGCTCTTCTCGTTGGGTTAGCAGGTCATCGTCTGCTTTCATTTCCTCAACGTGTCGGTTGAGGCCCTCTTTCAGACCCTCCAGCAGCTTCATTCGCCATTCGTACCACGTAGCCTTGCTTAGTAGACGAGCATGGGTCTTGACATTTCGGAATTGATTGTCCATAATCACACGGATGTCAGGCGGGGCGGTGACATACTCCCGGAAGAGAGCTGGGTTTTCCGCATATGTCTCTGCCTCAATGGAGCGAATCACTTGTCGACCTTCGGAGATGTAAGATTTCAACTCTCGGCATGACTAGAAAATGGTAAGCATGACGACAACAGTATTTGAGATAATAACTTACGTGCTGGTACAGTTCAAGCATGGGCACTGTACAGAACCCAGCTGCCACACAATCATCGAATGTTATTGAGCGTGGTTTGGGCATATTCTCTCCAGTTGCCCGGGTCAGCTTCTTCGTAGCACTGCTAGGTGCAGTCGTGTGCCGTCTCTTTGTCGTAGTAAGCTCCATGAAATGGATGTTGGTCATGTTCAAGAAGTCTTGCAGCTGAATAGGCTCCATTTCAGGCTCCTCCTCAACGGGAGCATCCTCTTCTTCTGGCTGCTGAGCGTCAGAATCAATATGAAGATTATCAATCCCCTGCTTGAGAGGAGTAGTTGATGTCTTGGAGGCACTGCGTGGTTCATGAGAAGGCGTAGTGCTACCCTTCAAAGGGGATGAGCTAACGGCTCTACGAGCAGGAGAAATGATTGATCGCTGGACACTGCCCTCCCTAACTGTCGGCACTGGCAACTTGACGCCTTTGACTGGACTGACATTGTGCCCGCGCAGTCGCTTGGGCGAGTTCTCATATTCATCTTCATCCAAGTCGAGCTCGACTGGGCGTTTGCCTAGAACTCCGCGGGCAGCCCCCACGTGGAGACTCTTACGGCTGCCAATCTTCGTCTTCTTTGGACTTAGACTCTGGATCATGTCCTTCAAGCTTGACGTCACATCTCGCTCCTCGGAATGAGGCACCGGGAGGTGACCATCTTCTCTAAGCTCCTCTTCTTCGCGATCACGTTCTTCCTCTGCTTGCATACGCAGTGGATCCTCGAAGCGCACTCCAGACCGGGGCTGCTCCTGTGGAATGAATTGAGGTGTACTGTCTCCCAGGGACTGGCGCTTGTCAAGTATGGCGGCGACGCGCGGCGATCCAAGACCTTCTTTGTCAATTCCTAGTCCGGAGGAACGGCGAGCCTCGCGAGGCTGCAATTTGAAGAGTGGGGTTGCCTCTCCTGTCGCCGCATTATGCTCAAAGAGGCTTTGGCGTAGAGACTTGCGCTTATCTGCAGATTGCTGAATCTCAGGCTGGAAAAGCTTCTTCGGCGAGGCACTTCTGAATGTCACATTGCCGGATGGAGGGGTCTTGCTTGGGGTGGTAGGTTTCGTTCGAGGAGTGAACTGTTTAGGAGGAGTTGAGGGTTTCTTGGCGGGGGATGTGTGACGACTGGCAGACCGTGGTGTACTGGATGCAGCAGAACTGCGCCGTGAAGGTCTAGCCCTAACGCTTGCCAGACTGGGGCTTCCGCTTTCAGATGCAACAGCCGCAACTTGATAGCGGAGAGGTGATTTGGCTGGAGACTTGGCGGGAGATTGGCGAACACTTTCCTGGAAAGGGGAACTATTCAGCTGTCCCGAGTCGGTCTCAAGCTCCATCATCAGCTTTGCGTGCACCTTGTCATTGGCTTGCTGTCCTGACTGTAGGATACCACCAATGGCGCCAGTCATTTCCATGTCCATGCCATCTTCCGATTCATTGTCTTGATTATCGTTCATGCGATCAGACTTGGGGGTCAAAGAAGGGTCGTTCCCCAGGATTTTTCCAACCCCCGAAGTGAATTCCATGGTCATTCCTTCGTCGTCGTCGACCTCAGAGACCCTCGACGGCGAATCCTCCGGCATAATACCCCCGACGACATTGGTCATTTCCATGGTTTGATCCTCATAGGGGGACTCCTCTGCAGAAGACTTGCGACGAGTGCTCTGGCGACGCCCTGGGGGCTTGCCAAGGATGCGTCCCAATGCGTTCGTCACGTCCATACTCATTTCTTCATCTTCATCGAGATGATCCTCGAGATGATCATCTGATTCTGGTGAGGTTCTACTAGCGGCGCCCTTGGATGGATCCATGTTTTCTTGATCATGCCGTGCGCTAATATCTTCCCAGTCGAAGCTTTGTCTCTGGCCCTTCTTAATCCAGGGTTGGAAAGCACCCGTGATTTCTTGATCAACAATTTCCATGGACATTTCTCCCTCCTCGTCGACTGCCTCGGTCCCTGCTTCCTTTGCCGCTTGGCGCAATGCTTCGTTGAGTCTGGCACTAGAGCTGGAGCTGGCAGTCATGTCTGACTGGGCGGTCATACCCGAGCGAGCTGTCATATCATCCATGCTCATGGCAGTGCTCTCACCATCAAATCCATCGTCTGATCCTGACGACTCGCCATCGTCTTCTTCTTCGCCGGCCATACTTTGTGTCCCAGTATCTTCGCTCCCGACTGAGCTTCCACTGAAGGGACTAGAAGAGAGATCTTGATGGCCTGTATTAGAAGATTTGCCGTTTCTAATTTGGTCTAGGTCCTCTGTGCGGAGAGGGGAGAAGCCAAATTCGGACTCTGGCGAAGATGGAGAGTCTCGGGAAGGGGAGGGTGCAGGTTGGTTCGGGGTATTGGTGGCAGCAGAGGCACGTCTTGTGGAGTTTGCGGCAGAGGATGAGGTTGAGTCGTCGGGGATTTCTACGACATTCCATGTGTGCAAGGTCGCTTCAGGGGCAAACGATACTCGCCGATTTGCTGTGTAGAGCTTTGTTAGCACGCACTTCTGCCATGGAGTGCAACAAACACGAACCCATAGATTTACGCCGCGCTTCCCGCTTCTCTAGGATATTCTGTCGTTCACGATCTTTGCGCTCTTTCTCATCGCGTTCCTTGGTGGCAGCCATCTCCTCACGGATAGCAGAGGTCGCGTTGAAGGTATCAAACGGGTTTGCTGTGTCGTCATTGTCCGTTGCCGGAGCGCCTGGTGTTGTTTCAAAGTCGATCAATAGTCCTTCTTTTCCTTGGCTGTCGCCGTCCATTGCACCATCCTGACTTTGTTGCTGATTACGGGCTGGGGTGCGCCGGCGTGTTTCCTCGAATGATGGGATATTCCGCACTGGGGAGACGGGTACTGTAGGTTTGAGAATGGATTTGAGCGGGAAGGAAGCCGTGGACTATACTCAGTTAGATGCTAAAGGGTTATGCGCATTGAGAGGCTTAATAACTACCTGTCGACGATTGCCGTTGGAATTCTTCAGGGCATCAAGTCCACCGGGCCCTAGACTCTTGCTTCGGGACTTCTTATCCTTCGGTGCAGGTCGTGTGCTGCTTGCAAAAGGCTGCGCTGCGCCAAACTCGGCTGTCGCATTCTCTTTGTCTAGAGCAGACGTCATCTTGGACCGCGGAACATGAGCGATGGACTGGCGAGATCGCGGTCGCGTTCGCGAGGCCGCGGAGTCGGCTCGAGTGGACATGGTGGGCGATGCAAGACTCGACGCCAGAGATCAAGTGCGCATGGTCGGAAATCAGTCGAGATCCGTCAACATTCAAATGCTATCATGATTGCCCCGAGCGCGTTGCTCCGCAGTCACGTGAAGTAAACAAAGGCGCAAAGCCCTAACCCGAAGTGCGCTAGTCCCAATGCGGACTAGTGGCGCACACTGCGAATTACCAAAGAATCCGCGGGTCAATGAATCTTCCTCATCTTCGACAGCCGCCAACCCGACCTTTTTTCCCCTCGACACCGCTTCCTCGTCGAGACAACACCGCAACAATGGCCACCGAGTTGACCGTCCAGTCCGAGCGCGCTTTCCAGAAGCAGCCTCACATCTTCCTCAACGCTAAGAGCAAGGCCTCCAGCAAGAAGTCTACCTCCGGTCGCCGCTGGTACAAGGATGTCGGTCTCGGTTTCCGTACCCCCAAGACCGCCATTGAGGGCTCCTACATCGGTATGCACGACTTCAGTTCGAAACTGTCAGAATCTATGCATGGAAGGGTCTTTTCAAGATTGGAGAGGGCGAGTTGATGGTCGCATGGAACATGGGGATGCTTGGCTGAGGAAAAGTTCGGGGATCTTTGCAATCCCTGTGTTCGTGCGCGGACTTCTAATCGACACTCGCAATCTGAAAAGACCTGGATATGCCATGGATCTGCAATCTCGAAATATCAAATCGAAAACAAAACCTAACATTTGAAACAGACAAGAAGTGCCCCTTCGTCGGCCAGATCTCCATCCGCGGCCGTATCCTGACCGGAAAGGTAATTTTATAATGCTTATAGGCATTTGGATCAACCCGCTAACTTTTTTTACAGGTCGTCTCCACCAAGATGCACCGTACCATCGTCATCCGCCGTGAATACCTTCACTACGTCCCCAAGTACAACCGTTACGAGAAGCGCCACAAGAACCTGTCTGCTCACGTCTCCCCCGCTTTCCGTGTTGAGGAGGGTGACTGGGTTACCGTCGGCCAGTGCCGTCCTCTGTCCAAGACTGTACGTCGAATATTTCTCCGACATCGCTACTCCCAGCACTGTGTGCAAACCCGCAGTGCGGTTCTACCATCACATCTGGAATTTGGCGATGTATTTTTTTTCTCCGAATTAATAACTGACTCGATTTTTTACAGGTCCGCTTCAACGTGTTGAAGGTGTTGCCCCGCACTGGCAAGGCTGTCAAGTCTTTCGCCAAGTTCTAAGTGTTGGATAATTGGGTTTTCGAAGACATAACGGCGAAGGAAGCGGTATGAATTGGATACAGGAAATCCTCGGGTGGGGATTGGGATAGTTTACGAGTTTCCATGTCCCAGATACCTCGCTGAAGAATGAGTGTATCCACGCAAAAAGCAAAAATATTTCTTCAATCTTCTTGCGATGGAAACTGTACAACAGCTCTGGTCAAAGAAAAGACTGACCATATATGTCAATCTTGACAGAGTCTATCTCAATGCGCATTCTGGGTTATTCCCACTCTTCTAAGCTACTTCGGTTGCTCAGTATGTGTCTTCTAGTCACGTAGACTTGGCGGGTGTGCGCTCGTCCTAGGTTTTGTTTCCGTCTCCTTCAGTAGCTTGGTGGCCTGTCCAGTCATGCCGTTTTGTCTTTTCAATACCCTAGTCGACCGGAATGGCTACTTTCGCAGACTACTGTACGCTATTCAGATAATATCATTTCCATTCATGGCAACAACTACCTAATCGTACAATAACCGTCCGCTGTTGCCTTCATTCTCTGGGTCTCATCTCTCATGGGGTTCGCAACTAATTCTCATATTTCAGCCAGGCAAGGGCAAGCCTCACCCAAATCGAACTCGACTTAGGGTGTGCATGTCCGGGCAATCATCATCGGGGGGCCATTCTCGCTCGAGTGCCCTCTGAGCACTAGGGTCGTCCTCTTCGTCGCTGACGTTGCCATCGATATCCATCTCTGTCTCTTTGTTTTGAGGATGCACTAGGGAGCCATGCACAAGGGAAAAACCAACGTTATGATCCTGGGGCGGCATCCCGGTTTGTGTGTTTTCTGGCATAGGTGCATGTTCCCAGTCCAGAGCCATATTGTCCTCAATGAGGTTTTCGTCTTCGTACCGATCAGACATACCATCAACCGTCTCAAGGGATACACTATCCGCTGTTGTGTCACTCTGTTCTTCCATGGATATAGAGCGGGTTTCGGAGGCATCATGACCATTGTTATCAGAGTCGGAGTGCCCCGAAGGGTCTTCGTCCTGCTCTGGAGGAATCCAATCTAAGTCCGGGCTTACATCTCCCCGATAGAAGAATGGCTTGCGGGGTGATTTCCGGAGACTCTCCGGCTTTGGCTGTAGATCAGAGCATTCTTGATAGCATTGCTCGCTCTCCTCGGACTCCCAGTCCTCCTCATCCGAATCAGTTGTTAGGTGGCTTGACGGCTTCTTAGGTGTCGTCTGTGGTGGCATCACCCATTCACTCTCCGAGTCCGACAATTCCTCTTGAGAATAAGGCATTCTAGAGAGAACACCCTCGAGAAAGGCTCTCTTTTCTGCGGCATATTTCCAGCCCCAACCGCGGGCGAATTTTGGTGCTAGATCTTCCCAGTAGGCTCTAGGGATCTGAAGAAGAACAAGAAGCTTCCTCAAGGTAAGACCGCACTGAAAGGATGCCTTCCACTTGTGCCTCATAGCTAGTATGTCGCGCAGCTTTTGGTTGCAACGCCGCGTATCTCGGATCACTTGAAGTTGTAGGAGGCGGTTGATATCACGGTTGAGTTGTGCAATCAACTCTATTGTGTTTATGTCTAGCGTTGAAACAATTGCCTCGGCCGGGATTTCCCCCCAGACCAGATACTCGGCGTAACCTTTCCAGTTGCGTGTAAAGGTCCTGGTTTGGACAGCGAGGGGGCAAGCGTAGAATATCTTTGCTGTCACCTTCGAGGTATCAATGATTGACACCATAGCGCCCTTTTGGTTGATCAAGGCACGGTGTATTGGTGCTAGCGGCGAAGAAAACGTCGAAATAAAAGGAGTCGCAACCTCCTGTTTTGTCACATGGCCGCGAAAGAAGGCCTTGAATTCGCTTTCCGTTATGTCTTCGGGGTTAAACGTCTCCCTGTTACAGAAGAGGCCGGCACGAAACTGGTATTTTGAGTTGGTTCCCTGTGAATCAATGTTCCACCATCGGTAGAGCAGCGGAGGGACTTTGTCGACACTTAAACCATGGCTTTGATCATGTTTTTTAGGGACCTGATCAGTTTGACCGCTACCTTTGGGATCATCGGCTGGGGCTTGACGGAGTTCTTTGGGTGCCGCCTCAACGAAACCAAGTGTTTCAGTGGAGCAATCGCTGTCGGGCATTCCACGATACTCGTAGACTTTTAGGCCACTGTGTCTGGCTTCACTCTCGTGCCAAGCAGAAGACTTCTCATTGCTGACATGTGCTGCTTGGGTGCTTGCATTGTCGTCAGTAATAGTGCCCTGGTCATCATCTCGCTTCACCGACGTGGTGGTCTTGGGCATATTATGCTAGGAAGAATGTGGTCAGCAAAGTGTTACCATAGGTCTCTATTACCTGCCTACTCACCGAAACCAGAAGTACGGAGGCATGGAAATCCGTAACCCATTCGGCGTCCGGCCGTCGAGACTTCCAGCGGGAAGTATCAGTGCCATCTCTAGTCTTCTCACGTAGATCGAATCGCAGGATCTTGGCTGCGGCCCTGATCTTTTCGACAATTTCAGTCCACTCTGCGTGGGTGCTGAACTCTGTGTCTATGTGCACGTGGTACCAAACGAGATCACCACTGCTTCGCATCCAGCTCCACTGGGTGTGGAGTGTTGCATATGGGACGAATCCCGTAATTCCACGCTCATTGAGGTGGCTTCGAAACATATGAGAGAAAATTTCCATGGTCTGTTTATTGTCGCAAGAGAAGAAACGATAAAGGCAGCACAGGACTTGACGCATATGAATATCCCATCGCAACGTTGGCCGGCGAGGCTCTTTTGGAGCCTCCATCTTTCTTTGGGACGATGCGGAAAGGATGAAAAGAAATGGAGGCCAATTTTGAGATCACACGACAACGTAGTAAGAAGAAAACTGTACTCTGCTTCGTCGCAGTCGTTCTCGGAGATGAAAGATTGGAGCGTGTGAAGGAAGGAAAGAGTGACTAAAGAAACGAACTTGGGTCAGACAAGATGTTTGAGTGATGAGTGACATCTCTTCTCTCTGGAGACCAGGTTGGGAGTGAGAGAATGTACTTACAGGCAAGAGATGAAGGTCGTTCCGTCGCTCGGATGTGCGTCTCGAGGAATAAAGACCTCGGGATATGGGAAGTAGGTGGATCAAGAAGAGAGTAGCAAAGGAAGAGACCCTAGGTTAGATAAAAGACTTTGAAAGATGTGAGGAGCAAGCAGATCTTCTTCGCTGGGATGTCTAGGAATGAATGGGGATGGAGGTTGGGGTGAGAGAAAAGGTAAGTCTTCGAGTGGGATGGGAAAGCAATATATTTTCAAAAAGTCAGGATTTGGCTAGGGAAGTGAGAAAGCCAAACTCCGTTGGTGTCTTTTGTAAGTGATCGAATACAGCCTTAACTTAGTGGTGGAAAACTTGTTGTGACCTGGTAGGGCTACTTGAGATCACCGGCTGAGTACCAAAGCCAGTCATTATAGCCGTCCGTATATCCCTACAATTAAATTACAAGAATCAGGGAGTAATTTTACTCTTCAGCTCTCCCGTGGAAGTCGGGGAGGATGTGTGAGAGCCTGAAGAAATCAAGCCTCTGTTATAGAAGGTTAAGCACGTTTCAGGCATTCGTCTCGACTTCAGTGTCCAGACTTTGTCGTATGATCCTGTTAGCTGGGTTCCTGTCGTCCAGAGAACCACATGTCTCTAGCAAATGTCAGGCCTATAGCGGCTTGGATCCGAGTATGGAGACGTAAACACTAGTTGTATAGATATATAATTGAGGATTAGTGAGTTCAAGACCCCAAGACTGGCAGGAATTGAGCTCCCCGATGGCCCAATACTGTAGAAAAGCAATATACCGCACACACTTTTTTGTGCTGTGTTTAACTCCAGTCGCATGTCTCCGATCTCAAGTCGTCCAAACTACCGACGTTGATCCTCGTGCTGACTGACACTAGTCCCAATTGGGCGACAGGAACATGGACACTCCGCCCCCCAGGAACTCCCTCCTCACCCTGGAACTGTCGCCTATCTTTATTCCTTTGTTTCTCGACTCATCATCACCCTGAGATTCTTCATACTCGCCAATCCCCGAACCGGCCGTTCCGACTCCCTCCTCCTCCTTCCCTCTCCCAGAATCCCAACTACCCCCGGGCTTTCAGAATGGCTCAATGAGCCACGTCATGAGCGAGGCAGTAATGAAATAGGAATTACCTGGATACTATAAGGACATTGATACCTGAAGCGGGCTCTTCAGTCTTTTCCCTGTCTTTTGACAAACTTGCACTCCCCTTCATCCCCGAGTTGGGCACCGATTCGCTACTTTCCAAGGCAGCATGGCCGGAGGCTTTGAGAAGTCGGTAAAAGGGGCCACGAAGCTCAAGGTGAGTCGGATTATTTACCCTTTTTCTATTTGCGCGCGACAGCCACTAATTTTCTCGTGCGAATAGCTCGCAGCTCCCAAATCCAAGTACATTGAACATATCCTCGTGGCAACTCACACCGGTGAGGCAGGTGTCGCAGAAGTATTCCGAACACTCCAACTGCGACTCCGAGACTCGGCATGGACCATTGTGTTCAAAGCGCTCATCGTTCTTCATCTTATGATCCGAGAGGGTCAACTAGATGCTGCGTTGGGATACCTGTCTGATAACCCGAAGAAGATCGCGCCCAGCAATTTCTCGGAAGGTAAGCTGAGTGGTTTTTGATCTACAAGAATAAAGGTATTGACAATTTCGGCAGCTCAATCGCAGGGACATAATATCCGACGGTATGCCGAATATCTAATTACGCGCGCCAAGGCATTTGAAGCCTCGAAAACCGACCATGTACGAAGCGGACCGGGTCGGTTGAAGAGGATTGGCGTGGAGAAAGGCCTTCTGAGAGAGACGGAGATAGTACAGAAGCAGATTCGCGTGCTATTGCGGTGTGATGTGGGTGATATCGAGTCTTGTTATTGCGCAGTGACTGACAGACCGCACAGCTGTTGACAGATGAGCCCGAGAACGAGATCAGTCTGACGGCTTTCCGCCTCCTCACACTAG